AGAAATTAACGTAATGATGGAACGTAAAGTTTGTGGAATTTAGTTCATCCTCCGGGTAACATAAAAATTTTAGAAAACCGTTGGGTTTATACCATAAAGTATGATGAAAATAATAGAATTGTTTATATATATATACAAGACCCTGTTAGTTGCGCAAGATAATACACAATTAAAAGGTGAGTCACACATTTGACGAGGTATTTAGTACAGTTGTTAACTTTACTATTGTAAGATTATTTTTGTCTATTCTGTGTATGTTTATGGAAATGGATGCATGTTCAAGTAGATATCACTAATGCCTATTTATATGCTTATTTAGATACTGTTATCTACATGAAGCAACCAAGTGGATATGAAATTGATTATAACAAAGTTTGTAAGTTACGTAAAGCAATATATGGACTCTCTCTACCAGAGTGGACGCCATAGGTTTTTGGAATTAGAAAATAAATTAATTAAATGGAAATTTAAGAAATTAGAGTGGGTTAATTGTGTATATATGTTTGAAGATAATGTAATTTTATTATTTTATGTAGATAACGTGATTATATTTGGAAAAGAAATGTAAATCGCGTAAATTTTGTATTAAAATTATTGCAGAAAAATTTTGATTTAAAAATTATGGGAAAAACAAAGAAATTTTTACGAATAGAATTTGAAGAACTAGGTAATTGTCTGTTTATATATCACACACATACACGCGCAAAGATCTTACATTCGAAGGCTATGTGAAATGTATGAAAAATATAAATATCGTGTAAGTTCATCAAAAGGTTAAGTTCTTTTCAAATTAGATTCACCCAAAACTAGCGAAGAAATTTTAACAGTTCCTTATAGAAATTTAATAGGATCTTTGTCATTTATTGCTACACGCACAAGACCCGATATTATGTATGCAGTAAATGTACTACCTCAATTCCAATGAAACCTGGAAATAAAACATTGGAATTGCTTATTGAGATTATTATGTTATTTAAAATACACTCAAAAATATAAATTAGAACTTTCAAAAGTTAAATCATTAAAACTATGATGTTATTCAGACTCGGATTTTGCTACAAATAGGGATGATCGAGTGTCGATGGAAGGGTTCATAACCTTTATAGACAAAACTACAATTTCCTGGCGAACTTTCAAGCAAAAGTCTGTTAGTCTGTCGGCCATGGAAGCTGAGTATGTTAGTTTAACAGAAAAAGCCAAGGAAATAATTTGGATAAAGAATGTAATTAATAATATAAGTTTGAATTTGGAACTAAGAGAAAATGTAATGTTTTGTGACAATCAAGCTGCTACAAGTTTTTCAATTCACTGGTAGAAAATTATAGAACAAAACATATCGATGTTCGTTATCATTTTCTAAGGAATTTGATACACGACAAGGTTTTCCAAATTAAATATATTGGTACCAAAAATAATTTGGCAGACTTTTTTACCAAACCCATGGTAAAGGAAAAAGTATTGGAATTTTGCAAAAAATTATTTTTTTAAAGAATAGGACTTCGTTTCTTTAGATTAAAATATTCGTTTGTTTATTGCAATAAAGAAATTGTGAATAAAATGTATTTTTTGTGTTAAATTGTCTAACATGTGATTATAAAATGAAATTAAATTACTGATTTGTAAGAGATAATGGCACTGAAATTGGAAAAAGGGGGCCAATTGTTAGACATTAAAAAAAAAAAAAACCTGCGAGATATTATTTTTCGGATCCGAATTTTATGGTCTCCTTGTGTTGTTTTTCCAATCCCGTCCCATGACCTCAATGAAAGTAAACAAACCAATTCGAACCCGATCTTTTTGCAAGATTCGTGATTTGTGGTCGACAGCAACTGCAATGCAAATCGAGCGACTATTTAAACTCGGCTCGTGTTAGTTTTTTTAGGGAGAAAGAAAGGAAATATAAGAAGTGGGTTTTAGCTCTTAAATAGAGAGCGGCTGGTTGGCTATGCAACTGTATGTTGCATCACCATTTTAAGATGATAAATTCGTTTTAAATATTAGACTGTAAGAAGACAGTTCCAATCAGATGTCTGGTAATGTTGAATTTTTTAAACTAAGATTTTATTAGTCAACTTATTATTTTTGATCGCTCCAGTGACGAGCACATTGACTTTAACCTTGATTATTATTAAGTCATTTTTAAGAAACTGCTTTCATCTTTATGTCTCCTCGACACAAAAAAGTTCACTGCTTACTTTGCCAAAGCTTGGGTTAGTTTACCAGGAAGTGTAACAATTACATTCTGATGGGTAGTACCATAATAGTAAGCTATAAAGTTTGGATACTTTAAGCCCGGACCCCCGTATTACTTTGTAACTCATTATAACTATCATCGCCCTATATGTTTTTCCCACTGTGGATCAGTACACATATGTATAGGAATCTGACATAACATTACAGATTTGAGTGTCACCAGATGAAATAAGGTGAGGAGCTTGTAAAATCAAACAAAATGAAAAAAAAATCTTTGTATATGAAGATTTTTATTGAAAAAAAAACCCCGATATATAACACGTAAGTGGCCCTCAATACAGGAATCTTAATTAGTGACGCCAGAGCTACAAGTTATCTCGTAGTGGTTTTTTCAATAAAAATTACCGTAAATACCCTTACAATATTATAACAGTGATGTTATGTTATTATATATTGTAAAACGTCATGTTTTCTTTAAAATAGAATGTTGGAACCTAGGGCAATACGTTCTAAATTTACCTCGCAGTGAATGGGTTAAATATTAAGATCTGCCACTTATGTATAGTTAAGTATTATTATATATCGTACTATTCCATTATACTCCGCATGCAATATATAATGGCAGAAAAATGAGAGAGAGATTTATGAGATTCCTGTATATTTAACGCAGACAAAAAGACGCTGAAAATTATTGCTTAGCAGTATATTATCTTGCCGAGAAATTAATAGTTTCGAGGTACACAGAATGTTACCAAAAGAAATAATAATAGGTCTTAAATAGTTGATTGTTTGTAACCTTTTGTTGGCGGTGACGATAAATCATAAAGTAAATAATGCGTGTGTCATAAAACATCGAGTTTAGCTACTGCATCAAAATATCCACTAGTTTTACTAAAAATATTCCAAAAACAAAGAAATTTTTTAACAACTATTTTTTCCCTACAAACACAAAATAAAAATTTTTACCTAACTTAAACTACTATATAAACTACCCTAGCTTATCTTTTTAAACGGTATAAAGAAATGTTGATATTCATTTTTATTTTAGTAAATGGAATTAGATGTTTTTTTTATTTTACTGTTTTTTAAGTGGGGCTCTTCAAACTGGCTTAAGGGTTTTAATCTACATGCACACAGTGATTCTATATGTACATTGTACTAAACCGAGTGAGTGAATGAGTGAATATTAATGTCGCACTGTTTAGCTACACGAGGGCTTTTGGCGACGGACCTCGTATTTTTGAACCATGGCCAAGTGACGAGGACATCTGATCTGGTACCCCCTCTTAAAAATACCACACCACACCTTTGGGAGGACGCTTGAGTTCTCGACAGATTTAACTTGTATCACGGAGCGTCTTTAGTGGTACTGGGCCCGAACTCGTGACAAGGCCAGCCATGATCCGATACCTTGACCATTGGGCTACCACAGCGCGTACTAAGCCTAGAAACTGGTAGGTTGGGTAAGGGGTAAAGAGACGAATCAGAATCACATAGGAATGTAGGGTAGCAAATGCCGCAGTTACGATGTATGGTGCAAGGAAGAAGATAAACAAACAGAAAGAGCAGTACGTTAATGGTACAGAAAACATTTTATTGAATGGTTGTACTACAACGAGTGCTCAAAATTATGGCCAGAAATCGTCTGGTAGGTCTGACATTGATGCCGTATGAAATTCTTTACGTTATGGAAGATTCATGACAAGTCATGTATCATCTTGGCAACCGGAAAGTATTTAAGCGTTTCTTTCAAATAGAAGAACTGGCATCTCGTGCACCAAACTTTTATGTAAACATAGAAGAAGTTATGTACTGCAGAACATATAGCACAACTTCTCAATAAAATGTTTTCTGTCTCATTAATGCATTAATGTTTCTGCACTTTTCTCTGCTTCCTTCCACCATAGCTCACAACTACAGCATTTGCGAGCCTTTATTCATGTGTGAATCTGGGTCGCCTATGTACCTCTTACACACCCTGCCAGTTTGTTGGTCTGGTAGCCAACCGCCCTGCATAAAGGAAAAAAGTGACTCAATCATTCACTCACTTACCACTCATCTCAGGAACTATTAGACCTAAAAATTTGACGTCTGGCAAGGATGTTCCTTTCATGGAGTAGAGATCCGCCAAGAAGACATTTCGCGAAAATCTAACCTCCCCACCAATTATATTGCGAGTGGATAAAAGGCATACTTGACAAATATTTTCCCGTTTTTGAACTATTCAGTCTACAGACTTGACATTTTTCTTTCATGGAACATATCTTTTACAAGTGTTTGGCAAAACTTAATACTCTAGGGGGGGAGGCAAATGGCGATTCGCTATAAAAGAGTTTTGTGTAAATCGAACCCCAATTTGTTTGCAAGGGGTTATGGAGTGTTACAGATAAATATTCCCATTTTTATACTATTAGACCTAAATACTTGAAATTTGGTAACATTGTGTGTGTGTGTTTTTTTTGCTTCTTGAATAGTGATCTGTTAAGAATGAGTTTTGGGAAAATCTATTCATGCGGGGGAAGTTGTGGGCAGTTACTGAGGTATATAAATAAAAGCAAATCCCATACAGCAATAAAATTTGGTACATATGTTTCTTTTGTTGTTGTTGTCGTGTGTTTATTACTGGGATACATACGAAAGACGTGAGATGGATGAGCTAAAACATATAACACAACCACAGAAGAATACAAATTTATTACAAACAATGATCCCAGCATATAACAAGATGAGGTGCGCTGCTTTTCCTTTCGAGATGGGATTCCATTTCAGGCGAAAGACCGACTTCTTTCCCGAAGAAGATACAACCAAGTCTTACTCGGGATTCGAACCCGAACCCACTCGGTTACAAGCCGAGGGTCATAGCCACCACATGTTTCTTTTTTTTTGTTGAGTTTAAATCCAGCAAGAACGAGTCTTAATAAAATCAACTCGCACAAATGGCTAAGGAGCATATTGATAAAAATGGTTGTTACATTTTTTTTCTTTAGTTTCTCATGGTATAATCATGGTTTGTAAACACCCGATTTCCACTCTTTTTCAATATACCCTCCCTCATAAATGAAGCACCATGAAGAAAATACCTGTTTACATCGATATTAAAACTGTGTTAAGTTTTTACATGCAAAACATTAATAAGTTCCATATTTTTTTAAAGAAAGTATACTACGATTTTTCGAAGAACTACGAAGAAACTACTATACTACGAAGAAATAAGATTGCATATATAAAAGATACTTTTTTTTAAGAATTGATACCTAAACATAAGTATAAATTATATATGAGATCTCAAAAATTGCGTCTAAGTCTCATTAAAGAGAAGAAAAGAACTTTTGAAATCCAAAAATTACTTTAGTTTTATAGAACGATCTAAAATATTATTAACACTAGAACAGTGCTTCTCAAAGTTGCAATACTCAAGACCCCCTTTTCAATCATAATTTTCATCGCGCCCCCCATACAATAATAATAATGTACTGAATTCAATAATACTATACTTTGACGCTAAAACTGCGATACGACTTTAACCTTTTAGAGCCCCCGCCCGTGTATATAAACGTCTCGCTAAGCTAAAACGCTTATTTCTCCTGGCGTATATACTCGTCATTTCGAAGTACGATCTTTTATGTGTTCTGCTATCAATAAAATTATTCCAAAGATATTGGAATGCAATAAAATGACATTGACAATGTTTGCGAAGGATTTACTTATTTTAGATTATTTTTGCTTCCTTAATCCTCCCCTCTCCCTATATACATCATATACGCGTGCCTACGTGGAAAACGGTTGGCATTTGGAAGCGAATCGCGAAATTTTGGATCGGCTGTCAAGGTTTAATTATAAACTGTACAAAAATTATCAAGATAAGTTTTAATTTTTGTTTTAAATTATATATATATATGACAAGCCCATGGGTTCGCTAGCAATTAATAAACTTGTTTTTAGCTTAGTATTCTCAAATTAATTTTAAAATATATTGTGTAGCACTGATATATTTATAAGTGTAATATATCAGTGTAAATGTGTATTTTATTTTTTCATTATGTCAGAATGTATTTCGTTTGTTTATTTTCAGTACATTAATAATGTTTTTAAATAATCTTTCGTTCTCGACTTTTCAATATGCCCTTGTAGATTTGTCACGCTCCCTAAATGGGGCGTGCCCCACAGCGTGAAAAACGCTGCACTAAAACGTCCATCAGTGTCGATTGGACACCGGAGAGCCTGTTTCGTTTCTTATTTTCGCATTTTTGCAAGGACTTTGAAAGTTTTTCGTGATTTTTAATTACTTTCTACGGTGATAACACAGAAAAAGTTTTGTGGTTTTAGGTTAATTAGAGAAGATTTGACAACTAAACATACCTAAAAAGTCCACTGGTATCGTTTCGACACCAAAGTAATTAATCTTTATAAATAGCTGTCGTTCAGCAAAACATAGTTCACTATATAGATAACATTAGTAAAACAAACCTATGAAAGTAATGTAGCCAATATTTTTTTTACCTTGAATGCAGTGTTATTGGATTCATAACGGAAATAAGTCAGTTATACTAAAGTCGTTTCATGTAAGTGCTTCGATTCATGACAATTTGTAAGGTATTCGCCCGTGGGTGAAGCCTTACTTCTAAGTTATATTCGTGACTTAGGGGTGTGGGAATGAATGAAGAACCAGGCGTTGCCATGATCTTAATATATCTTTATTAAGATCTTAACTAAAACACTATACAAAGATACTAGTTATATTTAAACTTAGGGAATCTGAGGTGAGAAAACACACAATACGTGTTACCATATAAGCGCGATCTTAACCACTATATTTAACTTTTCAGCCTATTCCTAATCTTAGTCTATACACAGTTCCCAATAGATACTAGAATTATCCTACCTTAATTTTTTGTTTAACCACAATTCTCTCGGATCCTAAATATTTTTTGTTTATCTCGCGTGGAATAGTATCCACCTTGACTTGATCACGCTGTCACGGATAGCTTCACCCTCAAATAATGGCTTACTTCTCTGACTTCAGTTTACGCGTTTAAACTCAGACTAGTATAATCACTTCCCAATAGATCATTCGCTTATGTTAAACTTCTGTTTTTTAAAAGGTTCCTAATTTGTATATTCCCGCTTCTCTTCTGGATTTGGTTGGAAAGAATTTGCCTTTTTCGGCCCCAAAGAACCCAAGAGGAGTTTTTAGTTGAAAACGTGATGAGCCGGTTACAAATTGCTTATCTGCTCATAAAAAATTTCATTCGATTTTCGAACCTTGAGCAGAGCAGACACCCTGAAGCGATGACTCGTAAAAAAGGTCTAAGCTCTGATAAAGTTGCTAATTTGTTGCGATAGCTTTCAAAAAATGAATCGGATGGTGGTTAGCTGTTTTGCTCTAATTTAGATTTCGTTGAAGACATAAGATTGAGTGAAAGTGAGTGCGAAGAATCTGAAGAAAGTGTAGTTGTAATTGATAATATTCTAGTAAATCCTGATATATATGTCGCTAGGGATGGCACAGAAGGGATACCGTATAATGGTAATATTCCGGGAGAATTTGTGAATCGAAATGTTTTGCAACAAAACAGTGGTCCAACAAGCTCTACGAAACATAATGCCATCAGTTTTTATGATATAAAGGTTCATAATATGTGATAATTGCATGAAATAATATTTAAAGTCTTAAAACTTAACCCTACTGAACAGTAGTCCTGCAATGATTTAGGCATTACAATTATTTTATGTATTTTATTTCACGGTGTCGAAACGACACTGGTGGAATTTTAAGGGTAATCGAAAAAAAATCCCGGACGTTCTCTCTCTCTCTAATGTTATGCACGCAAAAAGTTTAAGTTCAATTGAAACATACATATCAGAAAAACAAGGAGTCTTAATTTTGGTATTTTACTCTTTTGAACATTACCATCCAGATACCCTTAACATATTCATTGACCTTAAACATTTAATTTTTTGTACACTTGGCAAAAAAGAAGTTGATGCAAAATTTTGAGAAAATCCTTTTATTTTTGAAAGGTTCATTGGAGTGATTTAGTAAAAGGGTATATTACAAAAAGAATCTTCTCGAACTAGATTAATTTAATTGAGTTATTAATCTTCTATCAGAGAGGCATTAAAATTTATATCTTTGACAAAAAGCATCACAATTACCACAAGCTGAGTTTTCCAAAGCACTGTACGGACACTGTTGTATATTAGATATACAATAAAAAATATATATTCGCAAAATTTTACAGAATAAAAATGACATTGGATTTTTCGTTCGATTTTATTTGATTCTTTTTAAAAAAATGAAACTTTCTGTGAAAAAATGAAGTCATCCAGAAAAATTAATCTTGAATAATATTTTTTTTAAAAAAAAATGCTTTTAAATGATTTATTTATTTTACAAAACAATTTTTTAATTGTGATGCAAATTAAATTTGAAAACTACATCAATGACAAATTCGACAATTCGCCCTTCTTCAACAATGACGTTCAAGAATCCCAATCCATACATCATCATAAAAGAAAAGAAAAGTAGGCACGCAGTTGATGAATTTTCTCTTAATCCGTTGACCGTGACTCAAAACGACTGATATCTGTGTGTGATCAAAACCCACACACACACACACAGTTTTTAAATCTCTAAAAATAAATAACTCAAAACCTTGAATGTCCAGTTTTATTGCAAATTCGATTACTAGAACTGAAAAATGTGATAAAAAATTCACAAGACCCTTTCCCTGGTGCACTTCTTAAACCGAACAATTTTTAAAAAAATTGATGCGCAACTAAAGGTATCCGACTGCGTTTGGAACCGTGATTTTCAAAAAACGCATAAATGGATGATGTTCGTAATATTTAGTGTCACTCAGATTACAATACATGCATAAAATTGCTTTAAGGAGATTTTGACAAAAAAATTTATTTAAATATAATATTTTGGCAAAAAATTAACTTAGAATAATATTTTTTCCCCAAATGATCTCCTTTTGTGAAAAATACTTCTATTATAATAATATTTTGCCTGTGTATAGCTCAGACCTCTCTACAGAGGCTCATCTAGAATATTGGAAAAATTCACATTATTTTTATAGTGAAATAATTATTGGCGTTTTTTTTTTCTTAAAATTGCTCCCCTCTGTTGTCGTAAAATATGAATAAACCCACTTCTAAGTTATATATTTCAAAAATTCTAGTTGAGTCTCTGTAGAGAGGTCTGAGCTATATACAGGCAAAATATTATTCTAATAAAAGTATTCTTTTACAAAAGGAGAACATTTTGAAAAAAGATTATTTTAAATTCATTTTTTTGCCAAAATATTATATTTAAATAATTTTTTTTGTCAAAATATCCTTAAAACAATTTTATGCATATATTCTAATCTAAGTGACACTAAATATCATGAAAATTATCCATTTATGCGCTTTGTAAAATCACGGTTCCGAACGTTGTCGGATACCTTAATGATAATATGTTCTATGCATTTGAACTTACAATCGAAAACAAGTAGTGTACTTACTTTTTGACCTCATGCCATAATATTAAAAGTCCAGCGATAAATTGTGGCCACGGTAAGTGAACATGGTCTCGAACTCTTGGAGGCATTGTCAAGACACAGGTTTGAGCCAGGTTATCGAAAACACGTCGTATTGAGGGGTAGATGGTAATTAAATACGTGCAGCGCTCTTAGTCGTCGCAAAGGCTTGATGAGAAGTTTAGAGAGTGGAATCCACCTCAGATGTCATTTGTCCGCAATTCAATACTATAAGGTTCATTGCCAATAGCTTTGATAAACAATCACTTAGAGGTAAATTGCTAGCACTATGTTAATATACTTACTGAAAGGAGAAAAGTACTTTTCATGGACAAGCATTACAGCAAGGGAACTCGATAAAAATATTAGCTACGCGTAACAGT